CCTAAAACACTTTATTTTATGAATCTTTTTTTCTTGCTATAATGGGGATATTGCAAATCATACTTTTGTATTAATGGTATTTCTTAAAGCAATATATTTAGCTGTAAACTAAACCGATCTATAAACTATTGTAGGCATCTGTAAATTCTGTTGTGTGTACTGTAAACTTTGGTGGAGTCTTTTAATCAGCAGATTATGTTGTGAATGTATTTATACATTGTTAAAATATTTTTTAAGATTCTTGTTTAATTGAATAAGTATCTCTATTGTAGTGATAGCTTTGAAGGTGCAAAACTTTATATTTGCATAAAACTCTACTGTTTACAAAAAAAAATATTAAGTACACACTATTATAGTCACACATATATTGCGTTATAACTACTGCTTTTTTATACTACAATAACTTTTCTCCTTTTGGTATCATTAGAGATTAAAATTCAGCTAATTTTAATTACTTACTAAATGATTTTCTTTTTGGTACTCAAATAGTCGTATCATGGCCACTGACAGTCTCATTAAGCTGGTCTTCGTCTTTTCAGTGTTACTTTTAAAAATTTCTGGAAGTATATTTGCTTTATAGCCATAACACATTCTGGAGCTGGCTTGATTTTTCCCAATCTAAGACATCCAATCAACTACTGTCAAAGGACTTGATTTCTTTCATCAGAAAATATTTTAGAGATCTGTGTCTATGTATTAATACTAGAGGTATGTATGAGAGTTGATAATAGGCAGATGTGCTGCTGTTGTGGCTACCTTGGTTTTGCTAGAGCTAGAAAATATATTTTTTCTTTAAAGTTTTACATTCCTATTTTTTTTAGTTTAACATGTCATATTATTGTATTTTGCTTTTCTTGAGTAGGTTTTTCATCAGCTACTAAAATTTTTCATCCTACTGACAATGAGGAACTGATATTTCAATATTCGAAATATTAGATTAGCCCTCTTTTAACATCATCCATAGGTTCTGGGAAACTACAACTTTAAGCAAAACGACATGCTTATAACTAACCAAATTTTACCATAGTCTGATTGATATAAATAAGCATTAGGAGATTCTATGACCCAGTATATCGTATTGCTGAAAGTCGCAGTTTCCAAGAACCTGTTGATGATGATGTTAAGTGAGGATTTACTGTATTCTACTTGAATACATTTAAATCATCCTCTATGCATATGTTCCAAGTATTTTTATACCTTCTCAACCCTGCATTTCCTAGCTATTGCTGTCCCTTAACAATTAATCAAAATACCACTCCCTCCGTGATTCCTCCCATGAAATCTCCAGTTTTAATGGAATTCTTAATCTTCTAAATTTGCAAAACATTATCTGTACCTTTCTTATGGAAGTTATCGGTTACATGCACACTTATACATTATTATACATGTTTTATCTAGATTATTAGACTCTTAACTGCTCAAAAATTAGAACATGGTTTTTATTCTTCTTTGCATCTCTCCCACCATCCTCCATCAATATGTGTTGCATACATGAGTTACTAAAAATTATATCATGCATTTTATCTTGAATAGGATTTTTGGTGAGTTAGAATCCTGGAAAGATCTCACTAGACTTTAAGTATGT